TTCCTTGATAATTGTCGCAGTATGTTCCATCACCTTTCTTGAGAATTGGGAGCAGAATTGCTTTGCTTCAATCATCTGGTAATATTTCTTTTTTCCATACTAAAGAGTACATTTGTTGAAGGTGCGTTATGAAAGACGATGGACAGCATTTGAAAAGCTCAGCCCGAAGACCATTTTTTCCTGGAAATTTATTGGCCTTAAGCTTATGGATAACTGAAATTATTTCTTCTTCTGTTGCAAGCTAGTTTGCAAGCTTATGCTTCGGCAAACGTATCAGCTATATCAGAGGCAACAGATGGTGCTTCATGGTTAAATTTGGCCTCAAAGAATTCCTTCCATCTTATAAGGCAATCCTTAATACTTTTAATTAGTACGCCATTGCTGTCTCTTACCATTTCACTGTTCGTTCCCCGAGTCATAATTGCTTTATGAAGAAAGCAGAATAGTTTCCTATTGTCGCCTAATCGGACCGCCGCCTCCATTCTTGAGAGCCGCCATGTCACTCCAATAGAGATTTCTGTTTCGCCTTGCTGGTTTCGTTGCAAATCTTCGAAGCATCTGGTAGTCAAGATCATCAGGATCACCTGACATTCGTGCTTTGGCAATACCTGTAAACGGGTATAGACCATATGGTAATTTTCCATTCAATGAAAGCTGTGGAATGGGCCTTGAGTTATCCGAAACACCCTAGTGATATGGCCAGTACCCTTGCTCCGAACCAGGATTACTCGAGATAAGAAAGATTTTCACTTCTCATAACCTCTGATAACTATGCGATATTTAGAAAGATCGTGGACAATGATCGCTAATTAACAGTTTTGCAATGATTGCAATGTCCATAAGCGTTCCACGCTGATACGGCTAATACTTCGCCGCGCGTGAAGAGAGCTGTTCGTCTTTCTTCTTTTCCCTTTCCCTTTCCCTTGATAGATTTCGAGCAATTACCCTGGCTTGCGAGCATCTTTTATTTATCTCACTTGGAGTCGCTTTAAGCCCAGTTATCATATGTACCCACCGGGCTGGGAGTATCATGCGCAAAAGATGCAAACGCCGTATCAAGAATATCTGACCCTTCCACCATAGAGTTACAGGTAGGCAACTACCCGGATCCCCAGCAACTACCCGGATTTTTGACATGACATGTTTACTCCTGTCAAACAGAAACAGACATAATTATTTTATAATATTATTATAAATTTTATATATATATATATATATTTCTTTGTTTTTAAATTTAGAAAAAGAAAAAAAAATTCTAATTCATAGTTTTATATAGTTTTTTTAAAAATATTTCGAAAAAAATTTACAGTGGAATAGCAATGCAACCGCTCAAGATCAAACCAGAATCCATGAAATTTAATGTCATGATTTGCGAAAATCCTGTGCAAATTCTTTTAAATACAGTATTAATGCACTAAATTCTTCGCTAAACTCTTCAGAAATTAGTAAAATTATTTTAAATATATTCCTCTCTCTTTTGCACTTGTCTAGTTGTGGATACAATGTTTAATTTTTTCTCCTTAACATTATGTTAAATATGCTTTTTTCAGTGGAAGCATGATAGTGATAGAGATGATTTTTTAAAGACATTGGTGTTTTTTAAGAAAGAAATCATTGTGCCCTAAAATCTTCTCAAACCCTATTGTATTCTACTGGCGTAATCCTCAATTTGAATCAGTTCTCTTAAATTTACAGCACCTCTGGCAAGCAAATCCAGATTGTGCCCTTATATATTCACACAAGTGCGTATATAACCTTTCCGTACCCTTTTGGCAACTTCTTAACTTATTAACTTAATTCATTTTCGAGCGCCGATGTTGGAGTTATGCCCGTCAAAAAAATAAATCTTCGAAAAATCGAAATAATGCTGGCACCTCGCAGATACTTCTAATGTCAAATGCCTAAATGTGACAAAAGTTACCTCGTTTAGATAATATCTGTTAAGATATTCGAAATAGAATTCAGTTGCATAAAGAAATCATAAAATTGCTCTTTCTTACTTTATAATTCCGATTTTATCTTTACGATTAAAATTCCGAAATTATTTCCTTTCCATATGCTACGTCTAAACTTAATGGATTTGTTGTTAAAGAAGATTTCGCAATGAATAATTGAGGATTTCGGTTTGTTGACGTCTTCTGAAATTGCATCAAAAAAAAATCAAAAATGAATGAAGCAATCATACATAAAAGCATTTTTCATTAGAAAAATAGTTTTTTTGCTGGCCGTCAGCTGCATTTTTCAACAAATTTTTATACTCCACCCTTATAGTTTTTATTTTTTAGTTTTCTATGAATAGGCGAATTGTTGAATGTCTTTTAATTTATATAAAAAGTATATATTATTGCCTAAAGAGATAGGACTAAGTGAGTCGCTCTATTCAAAGTGGCGATGTTGGAGGCCCTTCTGAGCGGAAGCAAATCTACCTCGTGAAAATCCGAGTGACGCTGGCGACTCGATTTTAATTCTATCGCCTAGTGATTCTCTCGTAAAATTTTTCCAGAGCGACAAGCCCAGCAGAATGGACCTAGAGAAAAATGAGACAAAAAATATATGGATTTGACGGCAAAATATCCAATTAATACGAATTTTTAAAATATTTCAAAAAAAAATTCTTCTTTCGACTTATTTCTAAAATGTTTACTTTTATAATTTGCAGAATAATGAAACTATTTTCCCGATTTAGAACAATAAGTAGAGAAGAAGTGGCTAAACATAATACGCTTCACTCACTGTGGATGATTTATGAAGGAAATGTTTTGGATTTAACAAAATTCGTGCCTAATCATCCTGGTGGTGAAAGAGTAAGTTTTTCCAGAATATTCAAAAAAGGTATTTAATATTGTTTCGCGAGACGGTGCAGTTGTGCAGTCACATATCATATCTGCCCAACATCTGGTTTCTATTCTCTTGGTAAGAGAAAAGTGAAACTCAGGTGTGGACCTAGTTGCAATATTATCCCCAAGTAGACTCGTTTTACTTGACATTCCAGACAACGAAACGTGCTCAATAATTGAAGTTATCACTATAATCACTATAATTTATTTTTATTACTGTTTTAATTGATTTGTAGCTTAATTGATTTATAGCCTCTTCTTGAAAACGCTGGCACCGATGGTACTTTGAGATTTAAAAATGTTCTTCATTCGAAGGATGCAATTAAAATGACACGAAATTATATAATTGGCACATTACACGGAAAAAATTCCTACTTTTGTACATTGATCACTGGATCGCTACTGGCTATCGCTACTGCAATAATATTCTTCAGATTCGTTTTAAAACTTACAACCCAGATGAAATCATTTATATATAAATGAATTTTTTTCGAATTTCACCACAGATCTAAATTAAACTGGGGTGAGTTGTAAAATAAATTATCAATAAACATGATAAAATAAGATAAGATGTTTAGATATGGTATCATTCGTGTATTACTACCACTAACATTTAGGAAATAGCCTAGTTATTCTTTGGATAAAATATCTTATGTTGCCATTATTTTAAAGTAGAATGTATGATCCCTTAACTATCGCCCAATTAATGTTACAAACAAAAGGCATAGAGACGCTTGTGCGATAAACTATGATTACCTTGGGGCTAATCATTTCTCCATTTAGTTACCTCCATTTAATTGAGAACAACATGGTTTCTATAAAAAGACATCCCCCACTACTCAACCTTCTTGCCAATTTTTATAACTGGTTATTAGACCGTGTTCACTCGATTTCCATCCTTTATCTTGGTTAAACCAAGGCTTTTCACTCGATGGTGGCACTGTCACCAACGGTAGGCTGCTAAAAAATTATTAATAAGATGGGTTTCGCCGGGAATTTATTTAAAAAATTATTTGCGTGATTGTTTTTAAGCTGTTCGTATTATATTCTCAGTCCAACCTAAGTAATAAAATAATCCTAATTTTTCCAATCTAAATAAATCCTAAATAATCCTAATTTTTTTTACTTTATGTTTATTTTTTTATTAACATTGTTAATGTTTTATGTTATTCAAATGCATGGCGGTTTATGCCTACTATTCTTAGAGAAATTTTATTACAGTATTATAATTCATACTTTTTATAATTTATAATTCCTACGATATATATTTTTTTAAACCGGCAGCAAGCATCATTAACCACATTCTATGGAAATAATAAATTCTTCTTCTAACGGCTCTCACCATTACTGCTTAGGGTCGCTTCGTTGGTCACAAGGGTCACGTTTCCAAGTTGCTCGATCCGATCCATGGCTGATAATAGAACCCATTCCATTTTTCTATCGTATAAGTCCATATTTTGCTGGTTCATCTATACGTTCGAAATCTTTTCTGACCGTATCAGTCCAAATCTTGATTGGTCCATCTCGCTTTTGACGCCACCCATCACAGGGTTTAGCAAGTGAATAAATCGTTTCAGTTCTCGTGATGGACGACGAAGAAGGTGAATAGGTGAATTAATCACCGAAGACGACATTCTGTGATGGTACTGTTAATGCAAATGGCATCTAAGCGAAAATTGATGCAATCATGTGAAATTTTATCATATCGACGAACCCATAAAATGTGTCGTAGACATAAGTGGTGAAACATATATAACTTCTTAATATCCTCCACTCTATCGGCCATGTCATGCAGCCATATCGCAAGGTCGAGCGAATCACAACTACATAGGCGTGCTTTTGTTTTTATGGTGATTTCGTGACGGCTCCATAAAGGACTCGTCAACCGGAAGAGAGCATTTCTAGGTGATCCGAGTTATAATATCGTCTTTTGCTTGGCCATTTGGTATTGCAGAGGTGTTTAAAATATCGGGCTTCCTCATTCGACAATGGATTTATAAAAAATGGTATTTTATCAGCTTCTTGCACATAAGACGAAAAGGCTTTCGTTTATTTCCATTGATCTGAGTCTAATTCTCACTGCAATTCTCGTTATTCTCGTCTGGCACGTTATTTAGTATTATTTGCATATCGCAATAACTGCCAGCAAAAAGGACTACATCATCAGCGTATTCAAGATCTGTGATACGGTGCTTTGGACTGATTTGGATACCTCTTGAGCGCCGACAAGCGGTTCATTATCCGATCTATCGCACAGTTGCATATTGTAAGGGAAAGGACATAATCTTGTTTCGAATGAGTCTGTCATTTCCCCATATTTACAAACTTGCACCGACGTACGCTCATAAAATGCCTTTTTGAGTCGAATGATCTTTTCTGGAACATCGTCGCGTTCCATCATCCTCCGCTTTATCAATTGAAACCGCAGCCGCAAAGTCGATGAAACACATGGTAGTGGGTTGCAAATAACTTAAGCGATGTTCCAACACCTTTCTTAACGTGAATATCTGGTCAGCAACCGCGCTCAGGTTTGAATCCAGCTTGGTTAGAGCGCATCCTGTTGTCCAATACTTCCATAAGTCTATTCAGCAGGATGGAAGCAAAAATTTCTCCAGATGTCTCGTAGATTGATTGTCATAGTATGTCATGTTACTTTTCTTGGGAATTGGGAGCAGAATCGCAATCGCTTGACCGTCATCTGGTATTTCATTCTTCCATACCAGAGAGTACATTTGTTGAAGGTGCGTTATGAAGGACGATGGACAATACCTGTTCAGCTCGAAGATCACCTTCTCCCGGAGTCTTATTGACGTTAAGCTTATATATAATGGAGATTTTTTTTTTCTATTGGTGATTCGCAGTTGCAACCGTATGGCTTATCGAGTGCTATGTTCGGAAAAATAAATGGCGTATCGTAGTTACCATTTCACTAGTCTCTTTCCGAGGCAGAATAGCTTCTTATCGTCTCCTGATCGAGCCATCGTCTCCATTCTACTCCACCTAGCTGCTGCCGTCGTAATTCTTCGAAGTATCCGGTAGGTCAGGATCTCCTGGCATTGGCTTTATCGGCTTTCGTACAGTTGAACAGTTACTTCCGATAGAAGCGCACTTCTCATCGTGGCTGATTTTAAAAGACATACCTTTAGTTGTGACCGTTCTAGAAAAACCGTTAATATTTATATCATGAGATGCTTCTGTTTGAAATGCGTTTGATGTCTCCGAATCCTTTTAGTTTTAAACAGTTGAAGAATCTTGGAGTATGCTGTCTTTTGTTTTTTGTGAGTTGTCAATTTTGTGCGGATCTTGGCTCGATCCATAACATAATCAGATCCGTGAAAATTGCCCGTTTCAGCGCTGCGATAGGAACGACTCTCTAGTACGGAATTCTTCCACTACGATTGGATATAGTTAATCTGGTTGGAATATTGGCTGTCCAGGAAGTTTCACATGACTAGATGTCTTATACGATGCCGGAAGCAAGTATTAGCAAAAAGTTCATGCTCTTCGGCAAAATGAAGATGTTTCCCTTCACTAGTATACTACATTCCGATGCCATATTTGCCAATTACCGAATTCATCGCAATGGCATCATAATCTAGGCGCGCATTCCAATCTTCTCCGATTACGACCATGTTATGTTTCGGTACAGATGTTGTTTGCAATTGAAGCTCCGCATAGAATTTATCTTCATCACAGCTATCTGCAGAAAAAATTGGAATATTTACATTGATGAGCGAGATAATGCAGATTTGCCTTCAAAGGGATCATAGACCATGAGGTCGCTTACGTGTTTCCACTCAATCAAAGCGGAATAGGCCTTTTTCAGACTTGACAATTGCTGTTATTTCATCTTCAGTTATCCGAAATGTCACAACGATACAGCCATTGCTCTATTTAGAGCCAAGTTTAGTAATTTAGTAAAAGTTTAATAATCAGAAGTTGAAGTGAACCTTCGACAGGGAGCCGACATCCACATATTTAGAGTGTGGATAGCGCAATGTCCAAAAGCGTTCTACATTTCACGCCGCTTCGCCACGCGTGCAGAGAATCATTTCCTACATTAGGTTTCAAGCAATCAATTTCAAGCAATTACAATGGTTCACGAGCATATCTTATTCACATTATATATATATACCTTATCTCACGTACCGCCGGGCTGGGGGTACTATGCGCGTCGAAAGATATCGTGTCAGGAACATCCAACTCTTTCACCATAGAGTCACTTGAGAAAAGTTAAAAATGGCTTCCCAGCAGTCTCCCGGGTTTTCGATATAACAGGTTTGCTGCTATCGAAGAAAAGGATGAAATAAAAAATAAATTAAAAAATTAAATCAAAAATTAAATTAAAAATTAAATTGTAGGAAAAAAATGAAGATAAACTTGAAAAAAAATTTACCATTTGATTTCCAAACGAAGTATTCTAATAATCGATAGCAGCATCTTTATAGTTTATAGTTTTTTTTTATATTTTTATATTTTAACAGAGCAGTTGGAAGAACCGACCGCTTAAGAATAATAAATTAGGCAATGACGAATCCAGCTTTGATGAAAATAAGAAATTTATTTTGAGATGTGTGAAAAATTGCAATTTCAACAAAACAATAATCGTATAAACAATAATTTTAACAATTTATAAACTGCCACGAAACGGCGAAAGCAAAAAAGGCTATGGGATCGTAAAAGTGGAAAATGGATTCGAATAGCAATTAGCTTCCCTTGCCTCAACAAATTTATCGATCAATTAAGGACCAATGAACAGGAGTTTAACAAGACAGTTTTCATGAGTTCAAAGTGATACGTCATATTTTATTGGCATGCCAAAATGGCGAAAGGAAAATGTTTCTGCACTACTGTGGGGTTATAAAATGGAAAATGGATTCGAACCAACCGTTAGCTTGCCTTGTTAACAAATTAATATATATTATCCAAGGATCAACAAAGGATGCATCAGGTAATTCAGCGGGAATATTATGAGAGCCTAAGGGTTTGAATCTAGCCGCTTTCGCCAGTTCAGAGTGGTGCCTAGTAGTTTAGTGACAAAATAGTAAATCAGCAAAAAATATAAGAAAAAGATGACATCCATGAAGAATGCAAAAAAAGGCCAATGAAGTATGGGAAAACACAAAAAAATGATCCATGAATGGCCCAATGAAAAATATATAAGTTCTGCGGACGAAACTCAAAAGGAGTGGAAGCGGGCCGATCTCAAAGTAGCTTTCTGCTTTCGTTTAGCTTTCGCAATTATTATAATACAAACGTTATATATACGTTATATATAATATATTATAATGTAAAAAACAAAAATTTATTATAATATAAAAAACAATACGTTATATATAATATATTATAATATAAAAAACAAAAATTTATTATAATATAAAAAACAATTTTTTTGAAAAAACAATTTTTTTTATCGGATGATTTAAATATAAAAGTTCAAGTACTAAACATTTTCACTTTAAATAAATCCTTAAAAGTATAACTTGATTCACCAGGTAGCTTCCGAATTCTCAGAATGCTTTTAATTTTTGGATGTTGTAAAACAATCGACTGGAAAGTTCCTGTTATTGAGAACGAAAGCCAGTAAAGCGGAAGATACTGAAAATTATTTTTTTCAAAAAATTTACAATTTAGAATGAAATTAATTGCTCATCCTATAATTCTGATTTTGAATATTAATTATGAAAGTGAAAAAAAGACAAAAAAAGATACAGCAGGAAACTGAGTCATTATACCGCACATCGAAAGAGTAAGAAAAGCTATGAATCCATCAAGCATTTTGTTCGACATCTTTCTTGAATGCACTGGAAAAAGACGTCGTTGAATCTAAAATGCACAAAACATTGCTCGGATTCCTATCAGGAAGAAAAAATTCGAAAAAAATGGAATATTGCTTTGCTATTAATATAATTTAATGATTCCCGATGATTCCCTTTATTATTTTCACTTATTTACTGATAAATTTTCTTTCTTATCTTACGGCTTTCTTTTTTATCAAGAAATACGAATCAAATCCAGCATAAAATGACGAAAAATAATTCAGCTTTTATTTTTACTATTTTCCACGGCTTTCTTTTTTATTACTTATTGAATTTTTAATATGAATTAGTATAGAAAATGTTTAAGACATACCCATAAATTAAAAAATCCGAGAATACCTAAAGTAATAGGAAGTATGAAAAATGGATCAGGTGATAAAAGATCCGCGAACCAAAGTGTACCATTGAAAGCGAAGGCATTGGCTGCAAATAAAATATTTTATTAAATTTTTAATCATTGAAAAATGAACATATCAATAATTAAAATATAAAACATTTTATATTTATACTAAAGTAAATAGAAATAATCGAATGTACAATTTTTTTAAAACGTACAATTTGCAACATTTCGGAGCGCGAAAGAAGAAAATATCCAGAGAGGTACAGCTATAACTCTTAAATTAAAAATTCGAGACAGTTGTAATCGATTTTTCATCATATATTTTCGGGTACTTTCACGTATCTGAACAAATTGTACGTTTACTATATATCAATGAAATTTACTTTATAAAAAATATTTATCAAAAAATAATTAATAAAATAACAATAACAATTTTTAGTATTTCAAATGATCCTACGATCTTCATGAGTGACAGAGAACTAAAAAAAATTCGATAAACAGTTATTAATTTATTCAATATAAACCAAGAGTCCTCGACTTAAGTTCAACTTTCTAATTATATGCCAGAATAAATGTATGTTATTGCCTTTTGACATTTTCGAACCAAATATTTTAAAAAATTATCCACTAATTTTTTAAAGCAGAAATAATTCAGGCAAGGCAACCATGAGAGTGGTGGTGAAAAAAAAATAGCGGTGGTGAGAAAAAGGTGAAATTTTATATGTGGAACTTATTTGAAAAATTAAATTCTAAAGAAGAGCACGAAACAAATAAATCTACCAAATTTTCAGATTTTTCGATAATCTGAATATCACTGGTATTCAACTGATAATTTGTTTTATCATTGTTAAGAACAACATTAAGTTGATAATAAGAACCGAGTTTCTAAAATATTTATTTTAAAAAATAAATGAATGATATTTTGCGAAGGAATTGTTTATTCCCTTTTAAATATTAGTTAAATTAACAAATAATCAAATCTTTCAAAACAACACTTATTATTTCTCTTTGCTTATTCGGAGTAAAAGTATTGAGATCGGTATCTCATAGGTATCATCGGTATCACCGGAATCTCATCAACTCATCAGCCGACTTCGATACTCCATCATTTGCAAAACGAACTTAGTAAAGATGTTTGTTACCAACGAAATAAACATTGCCTTACCTCAGCTATTTTCAGGACTAAAACTAAGCCTAAGCCTACTTTATTTTTATATTTAGTGTTGCATTGCAACCGAGCTTGTGGTAAATATAACCGGAGTCGAAGCTTATGATATATTGATATATCGTTTCCAATTTATGGAAAAGGTTTCTGATTAAATATCCCATTAGGATCAGACGTTACTGATTAGATCTGAGGTTACCTTCTATAATGGAGCATGAAAAATGAATAAAGGCTGATGCAAATGGCAAAAGATGCCGATATATATTTTTCTGAGCTGTCTGAAATAAACCACTCTTTATTGCGGCTATAACAAACATCTTTTTGCAGGTTCATTTCGCAAATGAAACAATATAAAAACCGATTGATGAGCTGGTGAGATTCCAGTGAAGGCAGACAAGATAGTGGGAGCGGATTGAGGATGCTCATTGCTGAATATTGAAGGAGTACGAAAAATTAAACAAAGCTTATGGCAAATCAAGATGGTGAGCCTTGGAAATGATTAAGAAATGTTCTCAAATAAAATTGCACCTTTAAAATTTCATGCCTTAACCTATGAGCAGCAAATTTTCGTTCAGCTAACAATTTTTCAGCAAATATTTGTGTTGGAGAGGTAATTAATCGAAGAGAAATGCCGGTTAATACGATTGTACTGGTCCAAGATATATCATAATTATGCAAACCTATAACAATTTTTTACAAATTTTTAGACGATATTGAATTCTGAGAACCTGAATATTTTGAAGAAAAACTGCTAAATATTGAATGAGTGAATAAATAATCTCCTTAACAGTTCTTCAAACTCTGATGTTCATTCAAAACCTGTTGTATCTCGTTAACGACACCAATCTTCCCTATAGGCTAACAAAATGCTATCCAAGCCTCATTAGTAAAACCTATATAGATAAATCAAACATAATTAATCATAAATTAGAAATCGGCACTTCTATTTTCGAAAAGATTAGTTCCATCGAATATGGATAATGGGAAACATATTTCGCCGTTTATATTTTACCTCATAAAACAGATTTTGCTGACTCGTTATGGCTTAAATGATCCTTTTCAGCACCATGCACGGAACCATGCCTCAGTGCAATAAAACCGCCACTACGAAATCCGGAAGATTATCCATGCTGAAAACCCTTCTCTATCCCCACGCACACCTCCACAAAAACTGTCTCACTCACCCTATTAACAAAGAAGCTAGCCTAATCGAGAACAGTGAGTGCTAATCACTTACAGCTTCCGCAAGACTCATCTGGAAGATCGTTGGCCCCTTATACTTTTAGCTCCCTCAAAGCCAACCATGCTTTGCTAAATCGCCGTGCAGCCCTTCAATCTAGTCGCCCCTTGGAACTTACGAATTTTTAGCGTGCCTCTGCAAAGAAAACTATCGCCAACCTTCCATGCAAAGCTGCAGCGCGCAAGTGAATGGGCAGTCTTGCGCATAGTCAAGAACGACTCGAAACAACGCGCCATTATTCGCCGCTTTTGAGAAGCGACGAACCTTCTCGCCACTTCGACACACCGTAAGCGGCATTTTGAAAATACTTTTCCATAATAGCATTACTACTAACGGGAAAAGGGAATGAGCAACACAAATCTTCTCTCCGGCGACTACTAAAACACAGAGGCTGACGGAGACTGCATTTTCTATATTCGAAATAGATGGCATTTAAGGAACTGTTCCCAGGTGTTGCGTTTTACGGACAGTAAGGTTGTAAGGCTGCTCAGATTCTGGCAAAACTCTTAAATTTATACTCTCTTGACATTCCCATTCAGTTCAGCCCGCAATACCACTTTTTATCGTATTCTTTCAACTTTTGCACCTCGCCTCGCTTCTGTTTTATCGAAGAGTGCATTAATTCACATAAACTATGGTTAAATACTAAGTCGGACGCTCAGCGTGAAGATGAGGTGCAACCATGGTACTCATCCTAAAACAAAGCTGCGCTTTAGCATAAATGGAGGAGTTTGAGGAATTGCGATGTTTCAGATAATAGAACGAATTATTTGTTCTGAGGGATTCAGCGCTGATGGAAATATAATGATGGAAAAACTATAGAAACAAGCAGAGTGAGTACAGTTGAATATGGGAATAATGCGGAGTTTGAGAACATTTTATGAGTAAGAGTAAAAGTATTTGAATACAAATTTTGTTGCTTGTTAATGGGTTCCAGCAAGGAAGCCGTAAGTTGGGGAATTAGCAATAATTTAAGAGAAGGCACCCCTGGTGGGCAATGACGAAGAGAGTTTTGATTAAGTGCGAAATAATGACGTATTAAAATAGTATTTACGATGCACCTTTTTCACCAAACGTAATGGTAACTCCTCTCTCCCTTATATTTACAATATATCAGTTGGAAGGTTGCAAATCGTTGGACTCGGACGCTACTTGCATTGTGCTCGCAGGCCTTCATCCGTTCTTTCCTTTAAGTCTGAGAATTCCTCCAAGGATGGAAGGATGGACTCCACATCGATTTGAGAACCAGTTGATATGGTTCGTTTCCGAGATCGTACAACCATTAAAATATAATAATATGTAGAATTATGGTAAAATTTTCTATCAAAATGTTATTTCCATTTTTATTTCATTTGTTTTGTCATTTTTCTTCCATAAATTTTTTTAATTAAATTTTTACAGTTAAATTTTCCTTTTATTTTATATTTTTGCATATTGCATTGATTTTAACAAATTATGCATATATTTTTTCAATTTTCCTTTAAGTTTTTGCGAGCTTTTTTGTATAATTTATGATTTAAATATGTTTGAATCAACTATTAATCCATTATTTTTTAATTATTTTAGACCATTTCTAATACAATTCTAATATAAGTATTAATCGGTTAGCGCGCAATATTTCAGGTTCAGCTTGCTTAGATGGCAATTAGTACGGAAATTTTTGCTAGGCAATAGAGGTATAGATGGATCGCTATCCAGATTTTTTAATGGGAGGTTGTTATGTCAGAGGTGGAGGCCAAAACTCTTCTCACGAATAGTCTAGATTGCTAACTCCCTTATTATATTAGTCGAAATTAAATAACTAAATTTATAAATTCATTGCTAAGTGTGTATGTCTGGGTTGGAGCCGCAAATTATTGATATATTCTATTTCGCAGTCTCTGCGAAACTCAAAAGAGATTCTCTTTCAAGATGAAGTTTCTAATGTGCTTGTTAACAGGGTAATATGAGGAGGATGGGTGGTTTCTGGCGCCATCCGGACTGCTTAACTATTTGTTTATTCCTGCTGAGAATGGCAATTGAACCATTGTGCTGAAAGTTATAATCTAGGCAGTGCACATTTGGCCATGCTACTCCTTATTATATAAGAAGTATAAAATATCTTGTGTTTTTTTGTTAGATTTTTGACGTTTTTGACGTTTTCAGCGTTATTACTCATAAAACTGCAAAAAATAAATCTTTTTTTAACTGTTTGATTATTTTTAATTTTAAGCAAAAATGGCAATGATCATACCGAAAGTCGGCTTGTCACGATTTATGAAAGAAGGAACACAGGTTACTTTGTGGATTTTTTATGTGAAACTGTTTTATTTTTTGTGAAAAATGTTTGTTACTGGCTTTACTTTTATTATTTTCAGTATTTCAAAGGTGTTGATGAAGCTGTTCTGCGCAATATTGATGCATGTGTTCAACTTTCTTCTCAAATTAGATCGGCTTATGGTCCAAATGGTTCGTTTTTTTTAATATTTTCTTTCTTTTTTTGTTAGTTTCTCTTTTATGGAACCGAAGAATCTGATTTTTCAGTCTTCAAGAATTTTTCCTTCAATTTTATATGAATTAACAATTTACCAGTATTTTAGGTATGAATAAGATGGTAATTAATCATATAGAAAAAGTTTTTGTTACAAATGATGCAGCAACGATTCTTAAAGAGTTAGAAGTGCAACATCCAGCCGCACGTATGATTATCATGGCTAGTGAAATGCAAGAGAAACAGATCGGTGATGGTACAAATACCGTTATTATTTTTGCTGCAACATTGCTTGAACATGCTTCCGATTTACTTGCCATGGTACTTTTTTCTATTATTATTGGTAATTTGTTATTTTCTATTATTTATTTGTTTTTATAAAATTTTGAACCTTTTTTTCACGTTTTTCATTTCATTTGGAAATTAAAGGGCTTGAAACCAACAGAAATAACGCACGGATTCGAAATGGCACTTGATAAGGCTTTGGAAATATTGCCAAACTTAGTTGCCAAAAAAGCTGATAACCTTCATGATGTTAAAGCTGTCGAAAGCTATTTGAAATCTTCTGTTATGTCGAAACAATTCGATAATGTCGAAACTATAACAGAACTTGTTGCTAAAGCATGTGGTAATTAATTTTTGGAATTTATACGAATTTAGAAACAAAAAATTTTTTTTTTAAATTTCTCTTTTTGAATTTTTAAATTCGCTTTATAATATTGGAAGCCTTTAATTCAAGGATGGAAAATAGCAAAATTGTTTTTTTTGCTCGCTTTGATCCATTCGCTGCTTGCTGAAAGCTTCCTTACCTGATAAGCGTATAAATTAGAGGTAAGGTAAGTCTTTGAAAGCAGAAAAGGATTAGCTAATAATTAATAGTTATTATTATTAGTTATTTAATAGTTATTTCAATTTCAGTTCAGACAGTTCCGAAAAATATTACCAACTTTAATGTTGACAATATTCGTGTTTCGAAAATTCTTGGATCAGGTGTACACTCATCACGTGTTATGAATGGGATGGTGTTTCAGCGAGGTGTTGAAGGAGAAATTAAAGAAGTGAAAAATGCACGCATTGCGGTTTTTGCATGTCCTTTTGATATAACTCAGACTGAAACTAAAGTAATTACTACTTCTTAGTATTTTATCAATTTCACATTTAAATTTTATTCTTCATTGTATAACCATTTTCCATTTTCACTTTTTTTATTTTACAGGGTACCGTAAAAATGGAAACGGCGGATGAATTAATGAGTTTTAGCACAGGTGAAGAAGCAGAAATTGAAGCCATAGTAAGTGCTCTTGCAAAGAATGGTGTAACTGTGGTTGTGGCTGCTGGAAAATTCGGTGATTTATATCTGCATTTCTTGAATAAATATAAAATTATGGCTGTTCGATTAACATCCAAATTTGATTTGAGGCGTTTGTGTCGAACTACTGGTGCTCAAGCTCAAGCTAGAGTTGTAAGTTTCAATATTTTTTTTTGATTTTTTCTCTAAAGCTGGAATTTTATTTATTTTTTTTGTTTGATTTCCAAGTTGTAAAATAATTGCTTGGGTTAGCGAAAAAACCATACCATTTTTTTTTTTCTTTTATCATTGATCATATTTCAGTGCGCTCCAACTGTAAAATTCCTGGGCGATTGTGACAGAGTATTTCTTGAGGAAATTGGTGATACGCAAGTTGTTGTTTTTGATAAATATAGCGAGAGAGGATATGTTGCAACTATTATTGTTCGTGGATCTAGTCATTCACGCATGGATGATGTAGAAAGAGCCATCGATGATGCGGTCAACACATATAAAGCTCTTACGAGGGATCCGCGGGTCAATTTTTGTCAGATTGATGAAAATCTTAAAAAATTTCGAATATTTTTAAAAATAGACGAAAATTTTCGAGTAATATTGAATTTATTGCTGAATTTAGCTTTTGGCTGGTGCTGGTGCAGTTGAAATAGAATTAGCGAGGCAAGTTGAATCTTATGGAGAAAAATGTGCCGGGCTTGAGCAATATTCTATCAAAAAATTTGCTCAAGCTCTTGAGGTGTTTCCGAAACAAATCGCTAATAATGCTGGTTTAAAAGTAAGAAAAATTCTTATAAATTTTTTTTATTGATTTTCCACATTTATTACCTTTTAGTTTCTTTTCTGTTTTTTGTTTTTAATTGCAGTTTTAGTTTTATTTTTATTTTAATCTTTTAAATTTCTGCTTTATTCTAGGCTTCTGAAATGCTATCAAAACTTTATGCTGAACATGAAGAAGGGGCGAAAAATGCTGGAATCAATATTCTTACTGGAGAAGTTACAGATGCAATTGAAGCTGGTATCTACGACTTATATAGTAGTAAATTATTGGCATTAAAATTGGCCACAAATGCAGCGGTTACAGTGCTTAATGTAGATCAGGTTTATTTATGTTTAGTCTAATAATTTATAAATTTTTTTTAAAAGTTAGAAACGTATAAGATAAAAAGGTTGAACATTTTATATTGAACATAAGATTTTATGAAAATTAAAAAAATTAATTTAAAAAAATTAATTAATTTGAAAATGAAAATTAAAATTAATTTAATTTAATTTAAAATCAGCTTAATTAAATTTAAAAAAGGACCAGTTCTATGAATTTTCTATAATTCAGATTATAATGTCGAAACTTTCAGATTATAATGTCGAAACAAGTTAGTGGTGGACCAAATCCTCGTGGTCCTAAGGCACAAGATGATGACGACAATCAGATGGTTTAATATCCTTTCAAATTCATTTTTTCTGATATCAACTAATGACGTTCTTTGTTTCAAATCTCTTAAAATTTTTCTGATGATTTTCCCCTTAATTGGCTTAATTTTCGCGAATCTTTTTTACAGCTTTTATTATGATGTTATTTGTTATTCAGAAAATAAAAGTTATGCATATCCATTCTCATGCACATCCATTGTTCTTTTTAATCATGCTTTTATATCTTAATATTTGTATATTATAAATATTTTTACTTCTCATAGTATCTAATTTCAACAAATTATCGTTAATTTAGTTTAATTCAATTTCCTTTAACTGATTTTAATTTAAAATTTAATAATGTGGCTTTCTGAGGTTTATAATCTTTTGACGTGAATTCTAAGTTATGGTATGCTTTTTTTCATGAAAAAAATGAGGGATTCGGTGCATCCTCTGTTACTTTTTATTTGACTGTGTTCTTTTATACATTTATCTTTAGTGAATATTTTAAAATGTCGGATGTTATTCAAGAATTGAATCGGATTATCGAAAACGATAGCGATCACAAAACACAAATCTGGAAGTAAGATATTTTATCATTTTTTTCCTTTTTTTGCTTTTCGATATCCTGTTTGCATGTTGACAAGTAGATTAATAGAAAAGATGGCCGACAAGAATATTCCTTGCATGAAGCGATGTCTGAGTTTCATTTTATATTTTATTATGTTTGTCTTGTAAATTTTTAAGATTTTTTAGATTAGGCGATTTAATGCGTAAGATTCTTTTCTCGGATCAAGACTTGCAAGTTATATGTGAAAATATACGCAGACTCACAGATGCTGGTAAGTAGGTCTGATTTTTTTTACATTATTATTATATTATAATATCATATCATTTGCAGTTCTCAACCAAGATTCCATATCGATGATTGTTTCTCGACAGTTTATCAGTGACCTTATTGAATGCAATATAGAATTAGGAAAAACCAGTCCAGCAACTGCCCGAAGTATAGCTCTTGATCTTTTGCCAGTTATACAATCTCGACAAATATCATATGAAGAACAGGTTTATGCGACTTCATTATTTCAATATCAATCAATAAAATGTATTGAACCCGTAGAGTCCGTTTTACGAAGTTTAACTGTTTAAAATTTATTCAAGGTTGTCAAGCTGTTTATGGCACTTGCTGATTTGCATGAAAAAGAAGGTAGTTTTAAAGATGCTGCAAATATGTTGCGAGCTATGCCATTGGAGAACGGCCAGAGGTTAAGACTTGTGCCTCTATTTTAAATTTTGGTGTTATTTTAAATAGCTCCTGAATAGGTTTTCGATATTTTCAATATTTGATTGGTACTTCGTTATTTTTTACTTTTTTGTTAAGTTTCTCTCATTTCTCACATCTCTCATTTGCACAAAATAAATGAATTTTTTACGTTCTTGACCTTCAGCAATTGGTTATTTATTTATTAATTTTTATGCTTCTTTATTTTTCCTTAATCCTTCTTTTTTCTTCTTTTTGCTTTAATTGCTAAGGTTCTTTTTTCATTTGAGAATAGATTTGAGAGAGAATATAGATGAGTCTTCAATAGTTTTTATTGTGCCTATAATTTTACTTTTAATGATAAATTTACTTCTGCCTAGATGGTAGCACCCATGCTTGCCATCAACTAAAATATAATATATTAAAAAAGAATACGCCTTTTCTTTTTCGCACCAATTTTGAGAGAAAATAGCCGAGTGATTCATTTTTGTTAATAAGATTAAAAAACTTGCGAAAAATTTATTTTCAATTGTTTTCAGTTGATATTATTTAGGAGCTATTCTTCAGAAATGAAGCTAAATATCTACGTAAGACTAGCTGATCTCGCCATGCGTTATGGTGATGGTGATGAAGCAGAGACATTCATTAATCGTGCATCAGTGGTTTCAAATGATCTACAAAACAACAAAAATGTTTATATACCTTTCAAAGTATCTTTTTTTTTATTAATTTTAATATTTAATTCAATATCTCTTTTACTGATTACCGTTTGACTTCGTTGGATGGTGATTATAGATAAAATTTGCTGAAGTCCTGAATTATCGTCAAAAGTTCGTGGAAGCCGCGCGTAAATATTATGATTTGGCGACATTTGAAAATCTAGAAAGGTCTGATCAATTAATGGCTTTATCGAATGCGATTGTCTGTACAATTTTCGCACCACCTGGTCAGTGAAGTTTTTTTATTTGCTTTTCAAGTTTATCTTATGAGATTTTTATAAAAATTTTTTTCTATTAGATTGGGTTTCCAGATTTTTTAGTAAATAAACATTTCATCATTGATAGGTGCGAAACGTTCTCGTATGTTAGGAATGCTATTCAATAACGAGAAATGCAAACCGATCCCTTCATATAGTATTGTAAAAAATATGTATTTGGGAAAAATTATACAGAATGATGAGGTAAGAGTGAGACTTTTTTTCTTCATTTAAAAACATTTATATTTTTCAGTCAGTCATTTAATTACATTGCTATTTCATTGTTATTGTTACTGTGATATTATTCATTGCATGAGGTATTGGCATTTTTTGCTCCTCTTTACTCAGTCTTATCTTACAGTAAAACAAAATCTTTAGAAAAATTTTGTGTGACGGCTGAAAAAATATTTTTTTATTGTATATTGTATATTGTAACCAACCTGATATTATTTACTGTATATTGTAACCAACCTGATATTATTTACTGTATATTGTAACCAACCTGATATTATTTACGATATTTTTTAGATGGTGGATTTTGAAAAATCTCTGACAGATAATCAGCGTTCAATGCATGGATGGGCTGTTATGCATCGTGCTTTCTTGGAACATAATATAATCGCTATAAGCGCTAGTTTCACTAATATGCCTCTTATTCAGCTTGCACGTTTGCTTGGCATCGATGAGGTTCAGGTTCGTTCGTTAATTCGTTTTTTGGTGAAATAAATTTTTATCGTAAATTTTGTATTGTCTTGTATATCGTTTGTCATTTTATAATGACAAAATCATAACAAATTCGTTTATTGATATATTGGTATTAGAAATTTTAGAAACAAAAGCAAATACATAATAAATAAGAAGAAAAAACTATATTGCTTTATTGCTTTATAAACTATATTGCTTTATTATAATTATTTTCGTAGAAATTTTAGGCAGAGGATATACTATTGCAAATGATCATTGATAATCGTCTGGTTGCTACGATAGATCAAATAAGCGGATTCATCCATTTCAAACGTTAATATTTAAATAAAAGAATTTCCGTGTTCGGTAGAAATCGCTAATTTTATAATTTCAAATTTTTTTTGAGTGGTCGTAAATATATATTATAATTTTTATAATAGTTACAAATATATACTTTCAGATAAAAATAGTTTGATGGAATGGGATGATGATATAAATCACTTCTGTCAAAAGGCTAATACTATTGCTGACATGATTAATCAAGAATAAATAAAGAACAGAAATGAACTTAATGGTATTGGTATCTTTAGAAACACTTTAGTTATTGTGCCTTCATTTTAGTAGAAAATAAAATTTTTCATGATTTCAAGGACTGCTTCTTCTTTCCTTTGCATCAGAAGAGTTAAATAAATAAGTCATCGATAAAAAAATGAAACTTCTCTAAATCGAGAGCGAAAAGTTTATTTAAGATTTGCATGCAAAGTTTTCTTGAATTTGTTTCCTTGAATTTTGATAGTCTTCTGTTCTAGATTTTTTTATGTATTTTTTAATATTTTAGTTTTATACCGTAGTGATGTGGCGGAAGAAATTATGTTTTAAAATATGGTTATCTTGGTTGTGATTTATTTTGTATTTCTTGTTGATTATTTCTATTTTATTGTTTATTTTCTAATTTAATTGTTTTTAGGTATTTTCGCATATTTTCAATGCATTTTATTGTTAGTAATGCTCATTTTTTGTACTATTTTAAAGTAATAATTGAAATATTTTGCAACATTCTGCATTCTAATGTATGTTTAATGGACATGGTTGATTAATGAATTTCAGTTTTTTTGAAAGATTATTATAATTGAATTGAATTTTAATGATTCATTATGGTTGAAATTTGTTAAGGTCGATCAAAAATTATTCATTATTCATGCTTATTTATTTTTTTTATTTAAAGAAAAAATTTTGACTTGTTTTCACCTAATAAAAATTGGTTTTGCAATATTATGAAAAGAAAAAAATAAAAATTGGAAATTTGCAAAATTTTATTTTGCTATTTCAAATTTTTGCGCATATATAATATAAAAGGGCATAAGGGAAAAAAGTGCATCACATATATTTGTATAGAGCAAATAAATTGCATTTATATGGAATGCAGTGCAGGATGTGTGCAATTTCCATTTTTAAAATAAGGTGAATGATTTCGCTCCACCGCCTCGTTATTTGAATGCAGAAGAGTCGCGCCGAGTCGTTGTTGAACCAACGAATTTATGAGCACCTACGGATATTCTTTTTCGCACAGCTATTCTATTTCGTGGCCCACGGGGTTTCCACCTACTCAAATATAAGCTTATTGTTTGATTTACGATAACGAAGAAACAGCAATAGGGCCAACAAACGTTCTCACTGGCAATATCGCATCGAAACGCGTCGTTGTCGAACCTTGAATAAATGAAGTTAGTATAGCCGAATTGAACGGATTCGCAAGTATTTATTAGTTTTTTAGAAATAAAAGGAAAATAAAAATATTATCAGCAAAAATCTAAAAATAAATATAAAAAGCATGCGATATTATGAAAAGAAAAGAAACAAACATTAAGCGAATTCGATGAATTCGAAATTATTTCCTTAATTAACCCGTTCCGTTTTCCATTTAAAAAGACAAATTGTTTCCAAAATTTTTTGAATTTATTATTGTCTATTATTATCATTGTTATCATTGTTATTATCAATTATTGCTACTGATCATTAGTTCTTTGTCGTTTTTTATATAGTTTTATACCGTTTTTTTTAAATTTAGTATTATTTTTATTATTTTTTTATTGTTATTACAAGAATTATTATTAATTATTGTCATTATTATCAACAATGATTATTGTTTTTCTATTATCATTATTTTATTTCTAATTTTCCTAATTGCATTTATTTTAGTATAAATCTTCAGATATTGGTGGATTAATTTTGATTTGTTAGTTAGTTTCTCTCTTTTTTTTTCTTCTTTGTTTTAGTTTTTTTTCAGTTAAAAGAAGAAAATTATGGAATTCTAACTATAATAAATATTTCAAAAGAAATGAAATTTATCGGAATGATTCAAAATAAAAAAATAATTTAAATAGACGGTTTTTAAAGTTTTTTTCTGTTTTCCTAAATGGCAAATAAAAAATTTTTTATAAAAATTTTACAAAAAAATTATATTTTAGTTATAATTATATTTAATTATATTATATTAAAATTATATTTTAATTTGGTATAAATTTTCTTATAAAATAAAATAAGAATTTAATATTTAATTTAATATTATTTAATTTAATTTATTTTATTTATTTAATTTTATTTAATTTTTTTTATTATTTGTTACACTATTTGTCTTTATTTGAATAAATTTTAAATAATTAATTGAAAATCGAAAAAATAAGTTTTCAATTAATTCAAAATTCTTTAAAAGCGTAAATTAAGGTAAATTTAAATCAAAAAAAAGCATTTTTAAAATTTTCAAATTTGAATTTTATTTTACTGAAATTCGTTGATATTAAACAATCAAATTGCTCGAACATCTTAGAAAACTTGGTCAATGACGCTCATCTAAATTTATTAGAAGAAGAAAGAGAAAATTCCTGAGTTTCCTTTTCCCGAAACTTAATCAAAATTGCGTTTCGTTTTATTTATAATTATCGTTTTTCTCATGCCCAAAGAATACTTTTATTTCCTTTATTTTTGCTCGGTGATCTTTTATAATTTATAATGACAATAGTTATTAATAACAATGTGGTAACAAATAATACCAAACTACAGTACACGCAAGCTCATCCGACTTTCTCCAGGCCCTCAGCTCACTAAATAGTTTTAATGAAGAGCCCCAGCGCGCCCAATTAAATCAACGCAAATACAAACTGAACAATTTAATTTATTTGAAATGAAGAACCACAGTTTATTCGCAGATTTTGTAATATTTTTTTTGCAATATTTAGTATTTAGATTGTTAATATTTATACATTTAACGTTTGCTTCCAAAATATTGTTATTAGTATTATTATTATTATATTGTTCTTATTATTTTAAAACATTATTTAAAAAATTCCTTGCTTATTTTGAGAAAAAAATTATAAATAAATTATAAATTATAACATTATAAAATATATATAAATAAAATTTATTTTTAGCGCATTTAAGCTCGAAGAGAATGTTTTTCTGTTATTTGTGCGTAAAAAATAATCGAAATTTTCGAAGAAAATTCATTAATTTGTGCGATATTAACTATAAATAATAATTATTATTCAGCGAACAAAAGATAAAAAAAAATCCCTTTCTTATTCGTTTGAACGATTAATATTTATCGAAATAAATATTACGATTGTCGTTTATTAAAATTATTTTTCGCATCAAAAAATGCAAAAAAAATAGAAAATTTCATATAATAATAATTAAATATTTCATATTTTAAAGAAAATCAAACAGATTGAAGCCATTTTTCCTGTATTTATAATACAATTGTACAATAATAATTTGGCAACAATAGTGTTATTAATATCAATAATAATAGCAATAGCAATAATAATAATATTAGTAATAATAATTATATTAAGAATAAAACATTAAGAAAATAAAAAATGAACTAAATGAATCATACCAATTTCTCACGGACCCAGTAAACTGAATTTGAACCCAGAAATTTCATGATTATTTTTTAAAATTCAGTTTAACAAGTAAATTGCTGTTAATGCAAAGTTCTATGTCCGAAGATTCTGGCAGTTTATACTTGATGAAAAATTTATTAGACATCCTCACAAACAGATTTCCCTAAACCATTGAGTCTAATATTATTTGAATTTAACGAAAGATCTCTTCCAACAGCCTAGATCAGCATTTTATACATGTTTGTTTAATTTTCCGCATCCTTAAAGATTCTTTCTAAGTCATAATAAAGTCTTAGATTTTACACCTAATTTAGAGAGAACGATGTTTGAATTGATTTTATAAGCATTCACTTATAACCTAACTTAAAACTGGATATGAAGAAAATTTTGTGTGTTCAAAGTGGAAGCGAACGACAGTCTTTCAGGCATTGACGAGAACATTGTCTTATTTTATAATTCTACCACGGAGATCAAAATCAGGAATATTTTTATTAAGAAACTGAGAATTCTCCGACCTGAAAATTCGTTGACGCATACTATTAATAAAAATTCGCGAATTATCAAATGATTCTAAATTAATATGCAGAATTTTATATTTTTGAATAGGCAATTCGATTCGTTTTCGCGAAATCATTTAATTATATTATTTGCATTGATAAACTGACACAAATAAATCGCCTAACCTTTCTATGTCGCAAAACTGGCAGTCACCTGCATAAAAATGAATAATGGAACTACGAGCATTAATGATGCCACATAATGAATGATAAAAGACCTATATGCCAACTTTAACATAACGATTCCAAAGAGTTATTCATATGAGCAATTCGAGCGCTAATTATAATAACCTAAAATCCATATGAATAGGTCGACTTCGACCCCAAAATCGCTAATGGTTATCAACAACATCCCATGTGAGACTGCAATTGATCGAGTAGCATCTATCGATGACAACCAATCATAAATCATAAAAATTATCTGAGTTGAGTAGTTGTGGATTTGTTCCTGCAGAACTCGTGTTAATGAGCAGAAATTAAATTATTCGCATTAAAGCCAGATAGTTTATTATATATAAGTAACAGGATCACAGTTAGAAAGATTCTATCACTCTTCTTGAGAACTGATGGGATTGATAAAAGAAAACTAAAATTTTGGGGCTAATTTTGATCTGGAATTTTAAATACCTTTATAGATTAAGAACGGTGATAGGATAGAAGTTGCATATTTTTTTTGTGCAAGCCTGTGGAATGCTCGTAGTCCCAGTACATATAACAACGATTTAAGTTTAGATGAGATAGCATAAACATCTAATAATGCAGTGATGGAAAACAATTTGACCTTGGAATTCATAGAAATTGTAATCCGAGAAGTTATTAATAGCATTGGCGATAACATCGCTAGAGATCACTATTTTTCAAGATGCATTCATTTTTCTC